GTAAAGCCTTGTTCATCCACCCCAACTCCCCTCCGGCTAGGAGTCTCATCCTTATGCACCTACCATAGGTGCCTTAACAATGTCAAGCCTCCAGTAGTAGCAGCTAGGCGTCTGCCGATTGTTTTCTCGGTGTGTCGTGTTTAGGGTTTAGGGTATGAGCTTGAGGGTTTAGGGTGTTGGGGTTTAGTCATAATTTAGTCCTCAGCGTCGTTGCTAGCATTTTGTTTTATTTTGTGGCTTCCGTTCCGACCTGGTCGTTTTTTGCAATTGAAGTTGTCCGTTCAGGAGATTTGCACCGTGAACCCAAAACGAACCCGTAACTTTGGATGACGGCTAGAAGGAGGGAGCAGAGCCACATAGTGGTGCAAATTCTCGCATTGAGAACGAACTGCATGGAGAATTTCAGCACCTGCTAAGCTGCGAGGCCAACAGCGCAGAATGTGGTGATACCCTCGTCACCCCTGCTTCATGCTTGATGCTCACTGCATGCTTTCAGTTTAAGTAGGACTATTCAATTTGATCCACAATTCAAGTTTTCGTGACGTCGTGGGTCCGAGGTCCAAGCCCAAACACGAATATTGTGAAAAAAGCCGGCAGCAACAGGCCATCTTAAACCCTGGCACGTCTCTGTAACCTTGTACCCAAGCTTTCCTTGCAATACGAGTGTCTGAACAAGTATTGCTCGTGTTCCATATAGTTTTTGCACAAATTTACTATACTATGCCCCGAAATCCCCTTTCTACCTAAACGCAATTCAAGAGACCCCTACATTAGACCTGCACCCTTCCTCTTGTAGAGCCCTTGATCCTTTGAATGTACCCTGAAAATGGACACGTATTCTAACTGTTACGGCCCCTAGATCATGGAACCCTTATACCCAGTGGCTCCAATATCGCTGAATATACCCTAAATCATATTAAGGATCCTGCTATAATTTTGGGTGCATTCCTGAATTAAGGGATTTCGGAGTCTCTGGGTAATAACCCAGAACCCCTAAACCCTAAACCCCTAACGCAGAACCCCTAAACCCTAAACCCTAAACCCCTAATGGAGCATCTGCCTCTGCTCAAGGCCTTCTATCAGTTCCACGCCAACGCCAAAGCGCGGCTCAGTCAGAGAGAGAACCAGAGAATCCAATACCCCTTAATCAAGGAATATACCTTACATAGCGGAGGCCTTAAAATTATGATTTAAGGTATACTCCTTAGTTAAGGGGTACTGGGATCTCTGGGAGCTGCCGGATGACTATAGCCCTAAACCCTAAACCTCAACAAAAAACGGAGCATCTTACAGTGCATCACACTACCCTTGGTGTCGCCCAGAGGTTTCAAGTACCCAAATAGTACGTAGGGTTTTAGGTCCCAAATCCATACTCCATACTCTCAGTGGCTTTTTGATCTTGAAGCCCGGCTATCTGGGTACTTGGACCCTTAGGGTCACACACCCAGTACTCTGCCAACTCTAAACCCCAAGAGCCCAACCCTGGATGGGGGACTTGGCAGTAGGGATTCCCGCGAAGTCGCCTATGATGCTGGGAGTGTCATAAAGATCAACCAGAGGGCATACAATTTCAAAAAGCCCTTAAACCCTAAACCCTTACACCCTAAGCCCTAAACCCTTAAACCCTAAGCCCCAAGCCCCAAACCCCTACACCCTAAACTCTTAAACCCTAAACCCTGCGAGCGGTGGCATGCTATGAAACCCGCAGAAGGCGGCTTAGAATCATCCTCCCCTGCCAGTAACAAGGCTAATAATAGGGGCCTAAGTAATTACCCATACTTTTTTTGGGGGGGGTCCTTACTATAAACATAGAATAATGGGCCCCCAAAACAACCCTATTCCAATTATGCAGGCCCCTATATTATGGATCCCTCACAGACACCCTGTAAGGATCCCTTTTAAAGGGACCTTTCAAAGGGAACCCTATTCTAATTATTCAGGGCCTCTTTTGTTTCGCTTTTCTTGAACCTGGGGTACTCAACCCCCAGGTTCCCCCAGCAGTGCCCTTTTGCAGCGTTTTTTTCTTAATTTGTTTGGGGTTTCTTTCTTCAAACTGAAACCCTAGGGTTTAGGGTTTAGGGGAACCCAAACCCCAAAGAAGTAGAGCTAGGTTACCGGGGTACTTAGCCCTCTGAGGTATGGGTCCGGCAGGCTCGCCAAACACATCCGCTCCCCGTCCTGCATTTGCTGGGAGGGAGGGTTCAGGGTTTAGGGTGTAGGGTTTAGGGTTCAGGGTTTAGGGTTTAGGGTTTAGGGAAGGATGGCGGCCACTGACAAATCCAAACCGAGAGCAGATATCTCCCTACATCACCCCTAAACCTTAAACCCTAAACCCTTGTTGCAGGAGAAAAGGAGCGACAAAAAAAAAAAAAAAACCTTAAACCTTAAAACCCCTCAAACCCGAAGCACGCCTTGAATTGCATCAGAAAGCCGCTACCTGAGAACTGAGAACACATGCTCTTAAGAAGCTGTCTGAAAGCATTGGAGCAGACTGGGCTTTGATTCTTACCTAGGTCTCTGAGTGTGGGGCATTTTAGTTTAGGGCTTTGGAAGTCTAAAGGTAGGAAGGACATTTTAGGATTTCGGGATCATGATTCTTTGGGGTTCGGGTATTTTAGGGTTGATTCTGCGCTTCTCGGCTTGGGTTCCTGGACGGGGGTTTTGAAGCTTGTTTCGCATTGGGATCCTCAACCATCCTAGCAAAAACGAGGTTTGTGGGTTCGTTTGGAAGGTCGATCATGGTTTTTATCGCCTTCCGAAGAGCTTCTGTGAGCATTTGACAAACACGGCTCCGGACCTATCCAAATCCAGACCCAGACCGCTGGGACCCAATTCAGTACCCTTGGTACCTTCTTCTGACTAGGGCGTTCAAGCGGTTTGGGGTTTTGTGTTTAGGTTTCTGGAAGCCAAGGCAGCTACTTCGTCAATGCAATCGTGGCCGAGGAGAATGCCCTCAAAGCTAGACTAGACTTGTCCAACCAGATTCTCCAGATCTCAAGACAGCCTGACTAACACCCTAGAGGTGTTTAGGGCTTCAGGGCTGGGGCAAGCATCGCTGAGCCCAGAAGGACTATGACCATCCCTAGAACAGAAGCTTCTTTGCAAATCCTTGCAAGGAAGGGGTTGTCACCACGACATTTATGTACAAGTTCCGGGGTCGTGGCAAAACAAAGCCCCTGGACCCTGAGCGCGGAAGCCTGAGCGGATCATGGACGCTGAGAGCCTTCGATGCAGTGGGCGACACCCGAAGCCCCCGAAAACCTCTTGGCTAACAAACTCGTGTTGATGAGAGTGACGTTAGAACAACTCCCATAGTTAGTACTCGCCGTTAGACTGCGGGTGGACTGGATGGTTCATGTCATGTTGTCAAGCACAGAGGGACTTTTCTGGAAACTCATGATCGCAGCCTAAGAGTTCCAAAGCCGTCAGCGACTCGTTCATAACGCTTCAGACCCTCGCAGCACTGAAGCCTTGAATCTTTATACCTAAACCCTATACCCTAAAACCCTATATTCTATACCCTAAACCCTAAATCCTAAACCCCAAATCCTATACCCTATACCCTAAACCCTAAGCCCTAAATCCTCTACCCCTCAAAGCAAAGCCTGGAATCTCCTCAGCATCGATTCCCTGGGAGCCCTCCGCAGGAGGAGCCCTCCGGCCCACGGTGGAGTCGCAGCGCTTTGCTGGGAGGCAGGAGTTTCCGAAACTTATAGGGTGTACCTTTTCAGATTCCTACATTACCACGCAAAGCATCAGCAGCACAGGCAACAAGGAAGAAGGCACCGATGAGGTAGAGAACCATTACCGATGCTGGTATCAACCACTGGCGACGGCTATTCTATGCCGCTGGTGCTAGTCAACTAGTCACTACGCGTAGTCCTTTAAGCACGCCTGATTCTGGTCGCTTGACATAGTGCTTGGTGAGACGCTTTGAAGCCAATGGACATCCATTGCACGAAAACATAAAGCTTTCTCTGCCCATACCTGCAAGCACACCTACACTTACAGCCAAAACGGGTACGCTTCCTGTGGCGCAGCAACACCTGTAGCTTTGGGATCCAGCCAGCTTTCGATCAGTAAGCGCCTTCGCCTTGTGAGAAGGTGCTCTGTTGGCGTCGCTGTTCGCTGTACGCCTTCGCTGGCGGTGAAAAGATATCTCGGAACGAGGGCTGGAAAGTCGCTTAAACCTTTTTCATTTGGGTAGTTGTCAAAATTATGGCCCCTTATTGGGTGCCCAAAATATTAGGTGCCGTATTATAATAAGGACCCAAGAAGGGACCATCATTTTGACAACCACCCAGATGGGTCCGAAGAAGCATCCCGAATGTGAGCAGTTATAGACAGCTTGATCCTGTAGAGTTAGCCTATACAGTAATACCAACGCAAACTGTTCTGCCCTGCCCTAGCCAATTCCTATAGTTTCAACTCCGCTATCCCAAGTCCAACCCGAGCCCTAAACCCTTCACAGAAGACTGAGATAAAGCCAAAGGCAGATAAGAACGTGAAAGTTTTAGACTATCCCTGGGCGTCTGACACTTGAGGGTACCTTTGTAAGGGCCTTCTGCACAGAGGGGAAAAAAGGGTGTTTCTTTTACTTGATAGGGCCTTTTGAAGTATAGTAATGCTGAGGATCCTGCGATTTCCGTAGCTGCTGTAAAGCAGCATTCAGGTTTTCCACCCCAGCAGCATTCGGGTTTTTGTGAAAATCGACGGAATACGGAGGAACCACGTATTTGTTTTCATCCCATACTTTCATGCTCACACTTCGAACGCAGCGTGGAGTATACATCCCCAAGATGGTGACTCCGTAGCCCCAAGGGTGTAGGGCCTTTAGGGTTTATGCTTAGGTTTTAGGTGTGGAGTTCAGTTCCCTCTAATCGACCCCCAAATACCACACTATTAAGGGCCATAAAGACTCTATTAAAGGGCCCTTGCGGGGTCCTGGTAGGTGCGGAGTTGGGTTCCGGGTATTCAAAATCCACCGAGTCTCGCGCCAGGAGCTTGCAGAATTGCTGGGACCGAATGGCTCCTGGCCCATTGTCGAGGCTGTTGGATGTAGGGTTGGGGTTTAGGGCTTAGGGTTTCTTTAAAGGGATCCCTTAAGGGATACCATAAGGGTACTAAAAGGCTGCAGGCGTTTGGGTTTAGGGTTGGGGTCTGGGGTTTACGGGGTTTGGGATTTATAGGATTTAGGTTGTGGGGCTTGCAGGGTTTAGGGTTGAGGCCATTCGGGATTCAAGGCTTCAGAGTCTTTTGGTCTTTGTCGCCTGCGGGCTTCGGGTGTATATTGTCGCTGCGATTTTGGGGCGTAGGTTCTGAGGTTTAGATTCTCGATTCTGAAATGGGGGTGACCGAAAATAGGGGACCCTAATATGGTACCCTAAATAGTAGGATCCTTATTACAGGGACCCCAAAAGAAGGTACCCCTAATCTTCGGAAACTCCCAAATGTTGAGGCTGTAGTGGTCGAGGATTTCATGGCTCAGGGCTTTGAGGTTTTAGGGTCAACTCCCATTTAAGCCTGAGGGCAAGCAGGGTGCTTCAAGCCCGTAGCCGCAAGACGCTTTGTAAGCCTGAAGATAGCAGGGTGTAGGGTGTAGGGTTTAGGGTTCTAGGGTTCAGCGTGTAGGGTTTAGGGGCTACTTACTTTGCAAATTACCCTTTTGTTGTTATGTTGAGGGTCTGGAGCAAGATAAGCAGTGAAACCTTTCATGTTTTACAATCTTAGGAATCATGCCGTTGGCCTAAACCCTAAACCCTATGGATCTTAACCAACCATATTCCTTGAGAATTGAATTTAGGTTCAGCACGGGAAAAGCTCGACAGGTAACCTCCTTGAGTTCAGCCCTCAGGCTTTAGGTTGGGGTTTAAGGCTCAAGTTTTGAGGTGTAGGGTGAGGGTAAACAGGGCTTAGGCTCTATAGGGTCAGGGTTTAAGGTCTGGAGCAGGGTCAACCGCGCACGTCGAGATTTTAGTGCTGCTGGATTGGGTGACCTCAGAGGCGATAAAAAGATTCTCGGGGCAATGCACGAGCTAAGAGGTCCCTGATCCCACAGGGCCTGTGCCATGGCAGGGCAGGAGAGAGTGCAACCTCTGCGTATCTTTTTTGGGAGGTTGCGAGCATGCAATGTCCGCCGGAAGACGGATCGGACATTCCGGCGGTTGGCCACGGTGGCTTTTGCCGACAGGTGGAGAAGTGAGCTTATGTCCGGCTTTAGAAACTGCCCGCCCCAATGCTGGGGCCATGTGCCTGGCCTTCCAGGGTGCTGGTGGTAGTAGTAGTAGTAGTAGTAGTAGTAGTAGTAGTAGTAGTAGTAGTAGTAGTAGCAGTAGTAGTCGTCGTAGTCGTCGTAGCAGCATACAAATCTTTCTTACTGGTCGACTGAATTTGTGCAGTCGTTTACGAACTTTCGTTGAGCACCGTGGTTCATGGCTCCATGACGCTCCATAAGATGCAGAAAACAGCTGCTTAACAAGTTAGCCGGCGCAATCGTACTACTTTCTTGGTGCATATACATGGATACACAGGTCGGTAGGTCCTAAAGTGCCAGGAGGGCCAAGATCTGTTCTGTATCCTCATAGGCCCTTCTAGACTGCGAAGGACCCTTAAAACAAGCAACGCATCCTGAAGTCCTAGCGGCCTTAAGCGCCCGAAACCCTAAAGCAAACACCAGAAGGGTTTAGGGGTTTAGGGTTTCGGGTAACAGACCCCCAAGCCCGAGAACCTTTAAACCGTAAAGTTGCACAGTGGCCTAGACCCCCCAACGACCCTCTAATACACTCCAGGTGCCCACCATTAAGCACCATGAGGGCTCTAAGCCCTAAACCCCTAAACCCCAAACCCTTAAGCCTCAACTAAACCCTAAACCCTAAGCCCATGACACTAAACTAAACCCTTAAGCCTTAACTAAACCCTAAACCCCTAAACCCGAAACCCTTAAACCCTACTCAAAAAGCCCCAGACCGAACCCTTAGTGGCTCTGTGGGACAGGAGCGCCTTTCACTTCTTCTCGTCTTTGAGGAAGGCAGAGTCGGACATAGAAGGTTTTTTTTGGGGGGGTTTAGGGTTCCTTTTTGAGGGATGCTATAAGGGTTTAGGGTTTAGGGTCATAGAATTTTTGGGGTTTAGGGTTTGAGAGTCTTGGGGTTTTAGGTTTTTAGGGTCTAGTTTGAGAGTTTTGGAATTTTAGGTGTTTAGGGTTTAGGGTTTGAGAGTTTTGGGGTTTTAGGAACTTAGGGTTTTGGGGTTTAAGAGTTTGAGCGTCCTAGGGCTATAACGGCTCAGAAAGTCTTGAGGAGCTTGCGACTGCCTGGGCTGGGCAGTTTCCAAGGGTAAGAGGAGGGACCCTTAATAAGGACCCTACAGGTCAATACCCTTAATACAGCTATTATATACCAATTTAAAGGGCCCAGGGCTCCCCATTAACCCTAAACCCTAAACCCCGATCCCTAAACCCAAAACCCTAATCCCTAAACCACAAACCCTAAACCCTATACCCTTATTAGGGGTCCCCATTAAGGGTCCCTCCATTTCCCCTAAACCCTAAACCCTAATCCCTAAACCACAAACCCTAAACCCTATACCCTTATTAGGGGTCCTTATTAGGGGTCCCTCCATTTCCCCTATGACAGTTTCTGGACTCCAGGGTTTCCTGGGGTTTAAGCCCTGAGATCGCTCGAGCCCTAACGGGCCCTTGACTATACCTTACTTGGAGGATCATGGGACTTAGTAAGTAGGTTATAATTGGGGTTATAAGTCCCCTAAGTGGGGTTATCCTAATTATAACCTACTTATAACCTGACTTACTAAGTCCCATGAGCCTTTAAGTATACCTTAAAGAACAGGGGCCTTAATATTACGATTCTAAGTATATTCCTTAAGGGGGTATTGGGATCTCTGGGAACCCTTATAGTAGCCGCTCTGACCCATTCCCCCATTTCTTACGACGGTTGATGATATAAATCCTGCATTACCCATATTAAGGAATATACCATAATTCCCATAGTTTAGGGTCCTTAAGGTAGTGCAGGATTTATAACCCGTAAGCCTTAAAACCCAACCCCAAACCCTAAACCTTGAACACTGTCAGTGGCGGCACCTCTGCGCGGCAGTTTTTCATGCAAACCTTGGACTCTAAATCCTGAAGCCCCAAACCCTGAAAACTAAACATTAAAACTCTCAACCCTAAAGCCCTAAACCCTAAAAACCCTAAACCCTAAATCCTAAAAACCCTAAACCCTGAAAAGCCTAAAGCCCGTAAACCCTGAAGCCTAAAAGCCCTAAACCCTGAAAAGCCCAAAACCCAAAACCTACAACCAGCCCAGCGCCCCTCGCAGGTGTACAGCTGAAGTCGCTTCTCCAGCGCCTCGGCGCAGGAGGATCTCAGAGATTTGGAGGTTAAGTTGACTGCGTGCAGTGTCCTAGGGTTTAGGGATGTTTAGGGTCTAAGACTTAGGCTAGTGTTACTGTAGTATGGGGTCCTAGGGTTTAGGGATGTTTAGTTTTTTCGGACCTGGGTTAGTGTTAGCATTGGCGTTTATCAACATTCGTACTGGTATTGGTATTCGTGTTGGTATTCGCATTCGCATCAGTATGAAGCATTTAAATGATCCACATGTTTTTCGATCAGTGCATCATCGTGTTCAGTTCTTACGGAGCTTCGATGGACGCGATACAGCTGAAAGTCCATCCACCCGAGATCTCAAATCTTAAGGTAAATTCCTATATGATGTATGTGTGTGCATATATATATATATAGATATGTATGTGCGCAGCCGGCTGTTCCTGCCTAGGGGGAGTGCTCTGACTGTGCGATCGCTCGGTACGGCTTGGCCACATGTTGAGCCGAAATGGAATCGCTTACAAGATACCGTGCGATGGCCTCAAAGAAAGCTGCCATCACAGAAAAGCCAACGCCGGTGCGTGTTCAAAGTCCGCGGCAGAAAGAATGCAGATTTCTGGGAAAAGAAAAGACAAGGTTGAACGAGGAGATCGCGAATGTAGAGGACCGAGAAGATGCAGGCCCAGGAAGCAGCGTTGGCTGCTTCGCAGCAGCAGCCCGTGCAGAGCAAACGCCAGTCCAAATCGACACGCCACCGCTGAGTCGAGGACTGCTGATATCAAGAACGGGCGAGGTTTGCCGTGGAGACGACACCTTCGTATGCCGAGATCCCATCCAATCTGCAGAGGAATACGCTCAGGCTAGTGCAGTGGCACAGTAAGGTTTGAATTTCTACTCCGTGGAGTTTTGCTCGTAGTTCGCCTCATCTGACTCCGCGAGGAATATGCTTGAGCAAGAAGCTTTGAGTTGCGGGTACCTTCCGGTCCCTTGTTTGGGTTTGAAAAGCTCAGATTGGCACCCCCGAGTGGGCACTACCAGCTTGTAGATATCTGTTTGATTTTGGACGGGGGACGTTCTTCAGGGATGGCTTTCGACGCACAGCGGCCAGCTACAGTCCTGGGGTGCATGTTGTCCGTCCCGCGGTGAAGGCCGTGAGGGCCTCTGATTTCTGCTCCATGATTGCGCAGCAAGACAGTCATGAGTGCGCACAGGCCGGCGGCCTCCCCATCAGCATGTTCTACATTAATTAATTAATGGCCAGCATAGGCTGCATCCCAGATGGGTTCTTTGCCTTTGAAAGTGAATGTGATGTGAGCAACCCCTGTCCCCGAGGGTCCAAGTACCCATATAGTAGTGTTTTTGGTCCCAAGATCCATACTGTCAATGGTTTTTGGACCTTGAAACCCTAGTATTTTGCCTACTTGGAGCCTTCGACCCCTAAGCCCTAAACCCTAAGCCCTAAGCCTCAAACCATAAGCCCTAAGCCCTAAACCCTAAGCTCTAAACCCTAAACCCTAAGATGAGAGCAAGCCCTTCAGAATCCTCGACTCCGAGGGAAGCCCTCGATCGACGGGGCCTGGCCCCCGCAGCGCAGCGATGGCACCGGAGGCGGGGCCGGGGAGGCTTAGGGTTTAACTAGGTTGGATTTGGGGATTTTTTTAAATTTTCCTTGTTTGGGTTTATAAGGGGCCCTATATATATATATATATATATATATATATATATATATATATATATATATATTTTTCAGGGTGTTTGAAAGCCAGCGCAGTTAAGAGTGTTAAGGGCTTTCAAGGGTTCAGACAGAGGGTTGTGGGTTTATAAAAGGGTTTTAAGGGCTTTTAAGGGTTCAGACAGAGGCAAAGGCCCCAAAGTAGTTCCTTTTCGGGGTTCGAAGAGCAGAATCCTATAAGGTAATCCCAACAAGCAACTAGTATGGGGCCTCTGGGTAAGGTTTCAGGGTGTTTATAAGGGTTCAGACTTTAGGGTTTAGGGCTCAGAGGGTTGAGGGTCAGGGGTTTCAGGTTTCAGGGGGTTTAGGGTTCCTTTTTTAAGGTTCTATAAGGGCCCCTTATGGATTCTACATGGGTTCGGGTCAAAAGTTGACGGGCTTTGTACATGCTGTATAGGGTTAACGGGTGCATTCAAGAGCATTACGTTCGAAGCAACGGCAGGAAAGTGCGGTTCTGATATTCTGGCGGTTCGTATTCCCAAGTAAGTATTTCTTCTGTCCTCTTCCATATCATCAGTTGTTATCATTCCTTTTGTTCGCGATTTTGCTGGCAATTTCTCTGCAACGACGATGTGTCCCAAGTCCTCCGATCTTGAGGCAGCCCCCGAGGCATAATTTCAGGGTTTGCCCGAAGCTTAATCCCGTGGTGATGCGTTCCTCCTCGCCACACGAAGGACTTGTGGTGGGTAGAAGCCCAGAGGATGCCATCTTTCACAATGCACGCCTCCGGCGCAATTGCTATGTGGAAGCAGAAGAGGTGGCGAGGACGAAGACCATCCTTTTCCCGAAGACGCAGAGCCAGGTTGAGATTTCGAGTCCCCCACCCATTGACGGCCACATGCTGGCTTACGTGGTGCTGAACAAGAAGATGGACGTGTTTCCGCCTGGAGATGGCAAGGATGTTGTTGTGCGGGACATGACATCCTAGGACCTGGAGTAGGCCCTTATTCCCTTTTTGTAGGGTTCAGGTTCCCTTATAAGCCCCTTTAAACCAAAAAGGGCACCCTTTTTATTCTCAGGTTACTCTTGGGTCTAGCATCGTACCTGGCGAAGAACACAAAATCAAAGATCGGCCCTCTTGCCTCGCCCTCGCCGTACCAGCAGGGTAACTTGTCGTCGTCGCCCTGGATCGCCTTCCTGCATCCAGAGGACGCGTGCGTGGCAAACCTTTGGCATGCGCAGCACAGTCCGGTAGCAGGTGACTCAGATGGACTCTTTTGGTATAGGACTACAATATAAAATGCTGTTGTACTTCTACAACTTTTTAAACCCAGACTCATTGCAGAACCCTTAAAGCCGAAGCTTCGAACCCGAAACTGAGCGCGTAGAAAAACCTTCCTAGGAATCCCAAACCATCATAGAATACAGAACCTTTGCGGACCCCTTCACTAAACCTTGAAGCCCTTGAAGAACCCTTGAACACCTAAGCATTAAGCCGTAAGTCCTAAATCCAAGCCTTAAGCCGAAAGCCCACACCCCGAACCCCTAACCACTAAACTCCCAAAGCCCAAAACCCTACACCCCTTTTCAACCCTTAAAGATCCCCCTTTTCAAAACCCTTATAGAGAATCCATAGTAGTCGGTTTTTAGGAATCCCTAAACCCCTGAACCCCTCAACCCCAAACCCTTAAACCGTTATAGAACCCTGGAGAACTCTTGTAGAGCCCCTTAAAAGGAACCCGAAGGAATTCTTTAAGGTATCTACCCTAAACCCTAAACCCTAAACCCTAAACCCTAAACCCTAAAGGGCTCTAAAGGGTCCCTTCCAGGGATCTATAGCTGTTCCGTTAAAGGGCTCCTTAAAGGGATGTAGAGGGGTTTCTTTCAGAGTCCTTTAACCGATCTATAGGGGTTCCTTTTAAGAATCCCTGAAGGAATCTATGGGGTTTAGGGTTCCTTGAAGGAGTCTTTTAAGGGATCTGTAGCCCTAAGGGTCCATGTACCCAGATAGTATATACTTTGGGCCCAATGTACTTATATAGGGAGTACTTTAAGGCCAATGTGTATACTATCTGGGTACATGGACCCTAAACCCTAAACTTTTAGGGTAGGGCTTTCTTTAAGGGCCCCCTCGGCGGCTCGGTGAGGCTCGCCAGCTTCTTCCTGCGAGCCTCATCTCCGGAGAGGCGTATCGAGGCAGGCGCTTGCTTTTTTGGGTTTAGGGTACTTAGGGTACATAGGGTTTTAGGGTTTGGAGTTAGGGTTTAGGGTACTTAAGGTACTTAGGGCTTTAGGGTTTGGAGTTAGGGTTTAGGGTTTAGGGTACTTAAGGTACGTAGGGTTTTAGGGTTAGGGGTTAGGGTTTAGGGTGTTGACGATCCCTTACCGCGATTTGGGGTTTCGGCCTGTCGGGTAAGAACCCGGATGTAGAGGTTCAAGCCGTGGGTTGGGCCGAGGGTTTCCTGATTGGAGTTAAGGGTTGAGTGGTCTGGGGTTGTAGGGTGAGAGACCAGGAATCACGTGATGGGATGTGATGGGACACTTTGCGTTGCACTTGGAACTAGAAGCATTTTGCTGCGTAACATCTAGAATTTCCTTGAAGCCAGACAATGCCCTTGCAAGCCCATTAAGACCCGACAGAGACCACCTGATCAAACCGTATGATTATATAGAAAGACCATGAATCCAGACCTTCGAAGTTCAATAAACCCTAAACCCTAAACCCTACCTATCGTCTCCATTGTAGCTCCTTTTTAAAACCTGTATTATAGGATCCTAACCATAAAACTGGTAAACCAAAAAAGGAACTATGTATTTCGGCTCGAGGCAGCTCACCACTTTGCCGCGCTGGGCGATGGCGAGCGATTGCAGCTTTGCGGCAGCTGTCCGGTGTGTCGGTCGGTAGGTAAGGTAGGTAGGTGGAAACTGAATAGTAATGCTAGTAGCAGCAGTAGTAGTAGTAGTAGTAGTAGTAGTAGTAGTCGTAGTAGTACGTAGCCGTCGTAGTCGTAGTCGTAGTAGTGGTAGTGGGCGCAGTGGTGATCGTAGTGGTAGTGGTAGTGGTGGTGGCATTGGTAGTGGTAGTGGTAAGTGGCAGTAGTCTTGGTGGTAGTCATAGCAGTGGTGCTAGCAGTAGTAATAATTGTCATAAGCATTTGCGCGTTTGTATGCATATACATGACCATGACCTTAACCACAACCACAATGATCTTAATCATATAACAAGGGGCGCCTAAATAATTACCAACACAATTTCGGTGGTTCCTTTCGTTTAATGGGCCCCAAAACCCTATTCTAATTTTTAAGGGCCCTTTTTTGAAGAACCCCACTATAGATCGACCCTTATAGGTCCCTTATAGACACCCTTTAAGGATCCCTTTTAAGAAAACCTTTAAAGGGAACCCTATTCTGAGTATGAAGGCCCCTAATTTAATCCTAGGGACAGGGGGGGGACATCCCAGGCTGGAGTCCATGACGGACTGGTCCCTCTTTTCGCACCCTGGCCTTTTAGACTTCGGGTTCACGGTTCATGGTTGAGGGTTCAGGGTTTAGGAACCCTTTAAGGGTTCCTTTAAGGGTACTATAAGGGTTCCACAATGGGTCCTATAGTAGGGCTTAGGGTTTAGGGTTTAGTTTTGCCAAACTGCTCAGGCCCATGATTTTGCCCCTTAAACCCTCACAGAACCTGAGTTTCGTGCCCTACACGGCTACATGTGCCCATATAGTAGATACTTAGGCCTTAAAGTACCTATATAGGGACCCCTTTAAGGCCTAAGTACCTACTATATGGCTACATGGAGCCTTTGGGTTGCAGTAATCCTTGGAGTTTGGACTTCACTATACAAAGGCTTTGCAGAGCTGCTTGCAATCATCGAAATACCCATTGAGACCACCGAGACTCTAGGCAAGTCAGAGACCCCTGACCTCTTCCTAAAAGCTTCACCTTCCATTCTGCCAGGATCTTGGAGAAAGATCACCGATCGGTATCTGGGCTTGGTGCAGCATTTGCAACTCCATGGGCGTACCTTAACCCCCCTAAATAGCCTGTTACTCTAATGTGAGTTCGTCATAAAGGTCCTCAAGAAGGTCCAAAAAATCATAGGATTGTAACGGGAGGGGGGCAGATAGCCCCCCCCCCCCCCAACGCATAAGCTTAATTTAAGGTTATTTTGGGGGCCTTGAAGTGCCGTATGTGTCGCGCCTGCCAGCAAATTCCATCGAGGGCTTCTGGGCGAGTGCTACGGTTGATGATATAAATCCTGCATGACCCATAGTAAGGACTATACCATTCTTCCCATAGTTTAGGGTCCTTAAGGTAGTGCAGGATTCATATCATCAACAGTATTTTCGTTTCGATAGGGCCTTCCGGAGGCTCTGAGTGCTAAAGTGCCTCTATTGAGGCAGCTTGTGCCTCAATAGTGCCCTATTTCCGTTTATCGAAAAATCCCTCTCGAAGGCTAATTTTGTTTTATCGAGTGGGGGGCTATTACTGCCTATTAGGTGCTACTGAGCGTTACCCCGGCGAGCCCTGATGAGTGCAATTTTTGTTTGCTACCGACGCGCCGTGAAGATGAATTCCGAAGCCCTCAATAGCCCTCGATAGCTTGTGCAACTCACTTATCATACCTTACCTACATACAAGGAATTTTTTTTGTATCTCGGCTTCGTTTTTTTACATATGGGTTTCAAAACTGGTGCTTTGGTAGTGCTGTTGAAACAGTATGATTGAAACGTGTTTTCGATTTGGGTTTCGTGGTGGTCGTTGAAGATTACGAAACGGATGGTTCAAAACTTGGTATGTTTCGACTGCTGCGGAAAACTTTGGCCTGGATTTGATTGCAAAGCTATGTTGAAAACCGGATTTGGTAGAGCATCGAACAAACAGTTCATCGAATTGACTTCAAAACTGGTGTGTTTCCCCTATTTTATGCATTTCAATTCAGGATTGTGTCGAGCATCGAAACAAACCATTCATAAAACCTAC